CAAATTCCTATTGACTCATTGCATTGCCGGGCTGCCTCACTAGTCAATTGAAATGTGCAAAGTTAGCAAAGGATAGGCAATGTTTGATGCTAACACAAGTTGCTGAAGATTTACTTATCAGAACAACTTGGAACTCTGGAGCCTGGATAATCCTCTAACCTGTGAATAATTGTTTTTTTTACTCAGACTGTGTTGTAGCACAGAACTTGAGTCAAATGTACTTGTGTTTGTTCGGAGATTGGTTTGGTGAACTTCACTAAAATTTAGGTGCCAAATCCAGACCCTTTTGAAATCAATGGGAACCAAATGTTAAAAACCAGTATTGACCATTTTCTAGGACAATAGGCAAGGGATTTTCAATCAAATGACATAGGTTAGGGAAGGGTGAGCACTGCTCTGATGAACAAAACAAAAATTGACATCCATAAAGAAAAAATGCTGTTGGAATTGCTGGCAAATCACATCTTCTGGCTGTTTACTTCTGTCTGTAAACAAATCAATTCGGCTTATCCCTAATCCCAATTCAACAAGGTTGAAATTGCCTTGGTCCTCTGGGGCTACTATATGCTTTGTGATTAAGACAACTTTATCCATACTAATCTTACTGATAAAACGGATATCACTGGGGACTGTAGCCACACTTAAATCTCCACTGGTCTGAGACCTAACCCATGTTGATTCAGTAGCTAAAGATATTTCGCTGTGGACAATGTAGTAACACTTGAACCTCCACTGGTCTGATGCTACAGTCACTGCATAGTGAAGAAAAAAAAAACACAGGGACCTTTGTTGTATTGGATGTTATTATTTCTGCTGTATACAAAAGAAGGCTGGGCTCTATCCATGGATTGTTAGCTTTGGGGAGATATGCTACTGTTTGGGTATTCCTCTCACCTCTGTCCTCCCTCCCTCAATTTTCTATTGAGTACTATGTGGTGCAAGTGGAACTCGGTAATCCCAATTTCCAAGTTCCACTTGCACCACACAGGGCTCAACTTAGCAGAGGCACTGTACTGAACAACTGGACTGTTGTTCTATGTACCCTGTGGAAGCTCAGCCTCAGTCTCCTACAAAGGTGCATTGTATTTTAGTAGCCTAAAAAAAAAAATTGGTGTGTTTAACAAGGATGTACTATTTGTTCCCTCTGCAAATTTGATATTTGCTGTGCTGTTCTTCATAGCATCCCCTAGGCTCAATTTACAAAGCTAATACAACAGGACCAGGGCCCTCATTTCAATAAAGGTTTAGTTATTTTTAGCTGAGCCCAATTACATTAGAAAATTACAGTCAAATGGCTAAAATAAATATTTTTATCCTTGTGTTAAAGCTCTGTAAATGGTGTCATAAAGGTATACCATTACTATGAAAAAATTTTTACACCAGCCCTTTTTTGGATTGTTGGGCATATGTTGTTTTAAACTGACTGAAAGTAATCAACAAAAAAACTGAAGCACAACTCCAGCTAACATTTTTAAACAGGTAAAGCAGCAGTTTTTTTTCTTGTGGAAAAAAAGGTTTAAATATTATGAATAAATTCTGATTGTTGTCAGTAACCCTGCCACTGTCAACTGTGGTGGAAGGCACAATCCCCATGTTAATGTGGAGGAAAAATGGAAACACAAGCATGTGAAATGAGAAAGGAGTTCACGTAATGTTAACATTACAGATATTAACCTCATAGTTACCAGAATATTTTTTTTTTTTGCTTCATTGGTCCTTAAAGTGGACCTAAAGGCAAAAATACTTACCTTAGTTCTAATGATCCGACGCCACCGAAATCCCTCATTGGAACAACTTTCTCTCTGGTTTCTTGCAGGTTCTGGTCTTTGGCTGTCTTGATGGGCCAGTATGTGATTGTGTCACTCCCATTCATGCACAGGAGTGCAGTTACTCTGGCATACGGGTAATGTGCCAGAATTTAAACTGAGCTGTGCATGTGCAGCTCAGTGTTCCTTCTACAGGGGACTGCAAACAGGCAGGTAAGTTTATTTTATTGCAGAAGAGACATTGCATATACAGTAACTTCTGCAAAAAAGAAACTGTCTGGTCGCAATTTTTTATTTTTTAACTTTATTTTGACTTTATTGTAAATGGCAACTGAAAAATATTTGACATTATTGATAATATCTAAATATCATAGCATGCTTTGCATTTAAAGAGTTCATGTACACTTTAAAAAGCCTATAGTAGTAAGAGTGCCTATTGTGCGGTAAGAAATAAATTAAACCAAGTGGAATATAACTAAGGGTTACCGTGTCCAATTACATAGATCACCCTGTTGGCTTCAAATATATTAAATAATTGAAGTATTCCATAAAAGTAATTATCATCTTAGAATTTTACCAGCACTACAACTCCTGGCTCCTTATGTCTCATTTCTCTGTTGAATTTCTCTGGAATCAACATGTTTGCTTAGTGGTTTAATCAGAGTGCTGTACGTCATGTTTATTGGCTGGCAACCAATGCCTTTCCAGATTTTTTTACTTTAATCTTGGCTCCTGGATACAATTTAAGGAAATACAAATGTGCTTGGAAAGACAATAACACCAAACATTTAAAAACAATCTTAGTTTAATTATGTATAATAAAAACAAGTATGTTGATAAATCAATAGGAATATGAGTTTCAAATAAAATATATTGTTTTCTAAGTGGATACAAATATATTACTTTAAAACTGTACAAAGGTATAATTATTCCAGGTTACATACTTAACTGAACCTTATTTGCCTCAATGTGGTGGCCTACAGCCTTCTCATGTTAAAACACAATTAAATATTATGGATATCTCTTAGATTGTAAGCTGCAAGGAGCAGGGCCCTCCTAACCCTCTTGTATTGAACTGTATTGTTGCTTATATAACACCAACAGTTTGCTCAGCACTTTACAATATAAAGGGAGACAATACAGTTCAATACAAGAGGGTTAGGAGGGCCCTGCTCCTTGGAGCTTACATTACTAGCATTAGGCAGGATTTTAATTATAGTATTCATGTTAATGAAAAGTCTCATCTGCGTTAAAGTTGAACTTATAAAAATAACATTTGTGTGCTCTTCCTGTATACTAAGGGTATATTATTTGTTTAGTCTAAGGAAATATAACAGAGAAGAATACTTACCTTGCTTCAAATTTTCACAAGATTGTTCCCTGCAGTCCTTATATTTATGCTTGCCTATTCCTAGATTTATATTTTATTTGGAATAATTATATAACAAAATGGGGTTACTAATGGTAGTGCATTCGGTGAGGTGGTAATTGTGCCGGCATTTTACGTGTTGGCATAGATCCTGTCAGGGCTCCCAGGTGTGACCAGAGGTGTGTGACTGACGCAGGGAAACGCAGACTTCAGGTATGTGATAAACAATATAATTTATTAACACTAACCATACAAACATAAACGCAGTGCAATACTAAACATAATACAGTGCAAACAAACCAAACCAAAAAGTCAGCAGCGGTTCAGATCAGGCAGGGTCAGCAAAGGAACAGAAACAGGATGCAGGACAGATACAGGCCCAGGACAAACACAACACCAAGGCAGAGTCTGCAAGTCTGGCCATCCCTTAAATACACCAGTATCATCAGTTCCAGGTGTTAGCTGGCTGAAAGGTTGAGTCTCTGATTGCTGGGAGCACCCGCTGGGGCCAGCCCTGGTACTGCAGATCAAAAGGCAGGTGAGTCCCACCATTGCTGGCCAGTCCATTCCTGACAGTACCCCCCCCCTCAAGGAGCGGCCTCAGGACGCTCCAAACAGTCCTAGCTGGGCAAAATGTTCCACCGCCCGGGTCTGGTAACTGGCGGGATATCAAAGACTGGCACACCGGGCAGGACTCCGGGCAGCGGCACACCGGGCTGGACTCCGGGCAGAGGCACATCGGGCTGGACTCCGGGCAGAGGCACATCGGGCTGGACTCCGGGCAGAGGCACATCGGGCTGGACTCCGGGCAGAGGCACATCGGGCTGGACTCCGGGCAGAGGCACATCGGGCAGAGGCACACCGGGCAGAGGCACATCGGGCTAAACTCCGGGCAGAGGCACATCGGGCTGGACTCCCGGGCAGAGGCACATCGGGCAGGACTCCGGGCAGAGGCACATCGGGCAGGACTCCGGGCAGAGGCACATCGGGCAGGACTCCGGGCAGAGGCACATTCGATTACCAGGCGAAGCAGCAGGCAGCGGGCCACCAGGCGGAGCAGCGGGCACCGGGCCCCCGGGCGGAGCAGCGGGCACCGGGCCCCCGGGCGGAGCAGCGGGCAGCGGGCCCCCGGGCTGGGCGGCAGGCACCGGGCCCCGGGCAGAGCAGCAGGCACCGGGCCCCCGGGCTGGGCGACAGGCACCGGGCCCCCGCGGCGGGGCGACAGGCACCGGGCCCCCGGGCGGGGCGACAGGCACCGGGCCCCCAGGCGGGGGCGACCGGCATTGGGTCCCCGGGCGGGGCGACGGGCATCGGGCCCCCAGGCATGGCGACGGGCATCGGGCCCCCAGGCGGGGCGACGGGCATCGGGCCCCCAGGCGGGGCGACGGGCATCGGGCCCCCAGGCGGAGCGGCGGGCGCCGGACCCCCAGGTGGAGCGACAGGTCTCGGGCCCTCAGGCGGAGCGGCGGGCGCCAGACCCCCAGGTGGAGCGACAGGTCTCGGGCCCTCAGGCGGAGCGGGCGGGCGCCAGACCCCCAGGTGGGAGCGACAGGTCTCGGGCCCTCAGGCGGAGCGGCGGGCGCCGGACCCCAGGTGGAGCGACAGGTCTCGGGCCCTCAGGCGGAGCGGCGGGCACAGAGTCACCAGGCACGACAGTGGGCTCCGAGTCAACTGGCATGACCGCTGGCCACTGGGTCAGACATTGGATCGTCTGGCTGGACAGCGGGCATCGGGTCACCAGGCATCAGGTCATTTGGCTCGACAGCGGGCACCGCGTCATCTGGCAAGGCAGTGGGCTCCGAGTCAACTGGTATGACCGCGGGCACTGGGTCAGACATTGGATCGTCTGACTGGACAGCGGGCATCGGGTCACCAGGCATCAAGTCATTTGGCTCGACAGCGAGCACCGCGTTCATCTGGCAAGGCAGTGGGCTCCGAGTCAACAGGCACGACAGTGGGCACCGGGTCATCAGGTACCGGATTGTTCTGGCTCGACAGCGGGCATCGGGTCACCAGGTATGACAGCGGGCACTGGGTCACCAGGCATCAGGTCATTTGGCACGACAGTGGGCACCGCGTCATCTGGCAAGGCAGTGGGCTCCGAGTCAACTGGTATGACCGCGGGCACTGGGTCAGACATTGGATCGTCTGACAGGACAGCGGGCATCGGGTCACCAGGCATCAGGTCATTTGGCTCGACAGCGGGCACCCGCGTCATCTGGCAAGGCAGTGGGCTCCGAGTCAACAGGCACGACAGTGGGCACCGGGTCACCAGGCATTGGATCGTCTGGCTCGACAGCGGGCATCGAGTCACCAGGTATGACAGCGGGCCCTGGGTCACCAGGCATCAGGTCATGTGGCTCGCCAGCGGGCACCGCGTCATCTGGCAAGGCAGTGGGCACCGAGTCACCAGGTACGACAGCGGGCTCTGAGTCAATTGGCACGATAGCGGGCACCGGATCAGGTACCGGATCATCTGGATCAACAGCGGGCTACGAGTCAACTGGCCTAATAGGATCGTCAGGCTGGATCAGTTCATCATGCTGGGTAGAGGCATCAGGCTGAATGCCGGCGTCCGGCTGAGTAGAGGCTTCAGGCTGAGTAGAGGCTTCAGGCCGAGTAGAGGCTCCAGGCCGAGTAGAGGCTCCAGGCCGAGTAGAGGGCTTCAGGCCGAGTAGAGGCATCAGGCCGAGTAGAGGCATCAGGCCGAGTAGAGGCTTCAGGCCGAGTAGAGGCTTCAGGCCGAGTAGAGGCATCAGGCCGAGTAGAGGCTTCAGGCCGAGTAGAGGCTTCAGGCCGAGTAGAGGCTTCAGGCAGAAGAGAGGCATCAGGCTGAGTACAGGCATCAGGCTGAGTACAGGCATCAGGCTGAGTAGAGGCTTCAGGCTGACCACGGAAGGCAGGTTCACCGGTTTGGATACTGGCAGGATGGTATTGGTTGGAAAGAATTTTCGCTTTTTTCTGGTTTTAACTACTGGAGCACTGCAAGTAAACGCAGGTCTGCAAACAAATGGAGCAGCTGGAGACAGAGAAGAACTGGAGGATGGAACAAGGAGAGGGAGCAGTTGCTACAGAGGGCTTTTTTACTGGGTTAAAGGCAGGATAGGTGCAGCGAGTGGGAACAGAGTACTGACATGCGGTAGATAGCCAAGTATACTGGGCTGTAACTGGGGGAGCTGTTGGGAATACAGGAGTAGAGTTTGAGGAAATAGATTAGAAGCAGGACTGGGTCTTTGTAAGCTGACTGAGGCTGGGTGCAAACAAGTCTGTCCATGTCTGCAGTATGGGTTGAACAAAGCTGAGCTTACACAAAGCGTGTTTGGTCAATGACTGCACTGCGTTTATACAATCTCTTAGTATCTGTGGTGAACATGTGGAATAACGCTCCAGAAAGTAACCCACATCATCCTCTAATAACCACACCAGGGACTCTACCTGGTCTGCACTAAATGGTGGCAAAAATTCATCCCTGCATTCGGGGAAACCAGATGAAACCAACTCAACACATTCCTTAATCAATGGCTGCACCATAGAGAAATCTGTGCCCTGATCTACTAGAACATGAGCGAGCCGTATACATTCTAGCAGTTCATCCCGGGGATACTCCTTCAGAGTCTGATAAGCATATTTTCTGTCATCAAGCACTAGCAGAGATAAATACTCAAACCTCATCCAGATCCATCCTTCCCAGCAACAAGCCAAGATGGCTTCCCTGTGCAGCCACTTCTGGTCAGGATTGGCCTTGGTGTAATGTCAGGGCTCCCAGGTGTGACCAGAGGTGTGTGACTGACGCAGGGAAACGCAGACTTCAGATATGTGATAAACAATATAATTTATTAACACTAACCATACAAACATAAACGCAGTGCAATACTAAAACATAATACAGTGCAAACAAACCAAACCAACCACCCACAGATAACAGTACATACAAGCAAGCGTCGTCAGGCAGGCCGGGTCAATATCAATAGGGCAGGTAGGTACAGGGGGGAGCAAGCGGAGATGGGTCGGGGTCACAGGCCAGGTTCAGCAGGTAGCTAGCAGCGTAGTACAGAGGGTCAGGCAGAGGGATGGTCAGGGTCACAAGCCAGGGATCAGAACAGGTAGCAAGCAGCGTGGTACAGAGGGTCAGGCAGAGGGATGGTCAGGAGCGAGCCGGGGTCAGAGCAGAGAAGTCAGCAGCGGTTCAGATCAGGCAGGGTCAGCAAAGGAACAGAAACAGGATGCAGGACAGATACAGGGCCCAGGACAAACACAACACCAAGGCAGAGTCTGCAAGTCTGGCCATCCCTTAAATACACCAGTATCATCAGTTCCAGGTGTTAGCTGGCTGAAAGGTTGAGTCTCTGATTGCTGGGAGCACCCGCTGGCCAGCCCTGGTACTGCAGATCACAAGGCAGCTGAGTCCCACCATTATTGGTGAATTCATTCCTGAGAGAGGGTGTGTTGCACTTGTCTGCTGAGCTCCAGAAAGGCCCGAGAAGCCTGGGGCTAAAGTGCCCTGCCCAGCCCAGGCAGGATGGCGGATCCTGGGCCTGGGTCCAGCGAGGAGAAGGCCCTGGAGGGGCCTAGTACCGGCCTCTACTTTTCCACCAGTAGAGGACCTGGGAATGGTCCCTAGGAAGGGGGAAGTTTATTCTGCCTACCCGGGACCGTGTGGCCGCTCGGGCCAGGTTAATAGACAAGGCGGAAGCCAAGCTCCAGAAGCTGACTCTGGAGCTAAAGAAGTTCCGGTCATCCTACGACCGTGTATGGTCTTTACTAAGCGGCAGGCCATGAAACCGGACCTGGAGGCGCTGGAACTTTGTGTGTCACAGCAGGGGAGGTATGTGGCGGCACTGCAGCGCCAGAGCGGCGTCCTAAGCGAGAAGTATCTGAATGAAGCGAGATTTAACGCTGCAAGAAGCCGCAGTGTTGCGGCGATGCGGGGTCCGGTGGAGGAGGCCTCTTCGGTGGAGGAATTGTCGGGGGAGTTGCTGGTGGAAGGCGAGCAGGGGCAGGTTGAGCCCACAGCACCCTCAGAGGAAATGGCGTCTAAAATGGAAGACAGCGTGGTGGCAGGATCATCAGAGTCCCTCCCCCCTGGGCAGCTGCCTGTGGATTGGGGGACCCAGGTGGAGGAGGAGGAGATAGTGGGCGAATTGCAGTTCCTGGCAGAGGCGGTTGCAGAGCTGCGTGGAGCCGACTTCAGGTTTACGTCCGAGGAAGAAGCTGAAAGTGATGTCATCCCCCGCAAGCCGGCTAAGCCGGTGGTGAAGGAGCATGCTGCCTTTGTCATGCTGCAACGCATCCCCAAGGACGTGTTGGCAAAGGCAGGGGAGCCACTGGAAGGGGAGAAGGACTCTGCTGATTGTGTTGGTGAGATGGTTCTGGACACTGGGGTAGCGGGTATAATGCCTGCAAAATTGTCTGAGGTGCAGGTTAGCCCTACAGTCCTGGCTAAGGGTGTTTCCCCTCCGGTGGTGGTCCCACTGGGCCCCACCCCTTTGGGGGGCATGGTGGCCTCTGGTGTGCAACCAGCAGGTCCCCCGGTTTCTCCTCAGGGGGCTCCAGGTTCTCAGGTCCAGGCTCCTGCGGGTCCGGCTCAGGTGGGTTCTCCTGCTGGTATGGGTGGTCCCCAGCCCCGGGCTCCCCCAGGTCATGGCTCATCAGCATCTGCCCCTTCAGTTGCTGCTGCTGGTGTGGGCGGCTTCCCCTGGTCATGCCCCCTTGATGTTGAGTGCCCCTGGGGCTAGATCGGGGCTCAGTTACTCTGCTGCAGTTAGGGGAGGTCAGGGGTCAGTGGGATCGGCCCGGGCAGGGCAGGTAACCTACCCACTTCCGCCGCAAGGCGAAATGTTGTTCAGCTGAAATGGTCAGGGGAGGGCCCCCCCCTTAGCAGGAGAGAGGTCATAGACCGCATATATTAGAAATGGGCTTCCGTGCTGCGGATATTTTTGCGTTTATTGCTCCAGTTGGTACTGGAGAATCTGACGTGTCCTTCATGCGGCCAGAATTGTTGGACCTCTTTTGGCAGAGGTATGAGGCCGACCTTTGTCACCAGCCCTAGGTGGGTGGGCCTAACCCCGAGGCTCGTCTCTCGCCAGTCCCTGATTAAAAAAATAACGGTGCTGGTGAGAAATGAATCCATCCCAGCATCAGATATTGTGGTCTGGCTAAGTAGATATGGGGATGTGATGGGGCCCCTTGGGAAGATCAAGGATGAGAGGGGAATATGGACAGGTGGGTGGACGACCACCGTCCGCTTAAAGGTGGTTGGAAATGTGCCCAGCACATTCCCTCTTTCCGCTTTTCTAGGGAAGGACCGCCTGATAATTTTTTATGCGGGTCAGCCGAGGGTCTGCCACCGGTGTGGGGGTAAGGGGCATTTTGCGGCCACCTGCCCCGTCATTAGATGTTCCCTGTGTCAGGAAATAGGACACCTGGCCAGGGACTGCAATGTTGTCCGATGCAATCTCTGCGGGGAGCTCGGGCATTCATACAACCAGTGCCCGGAGGCCCTCCACAACCTTCCGGTGGGGGAGCTTGAAGCAGAGTTGGATCGGATAGATGCTGAAGAGGCGGAGGCGGCATTGAGCGGCTTCGGTTGCTGTGGTGGCCCTTGTGAGGGAAGGGGAGGTTTCTGTGGCCCCTCCTGTCTCTGTCCCCCCTGTTTCGTCTACCCCTTTGGAGTCCCCTGTTGTTCCCCCTTGTGTGCCGGTTCCTCCTCCCAGGACTAAGAAACAGCTGAGGGAGGCTGCTAAAGGGGCCGGGATGGTTGAGGCTAGGTCTAGTCCCTCAGTGTCTGCCCCCCTTGCTCTTGCCGCTGCGGCGGAGTAGGAGGCCCGGTAGGGAGTCCCGGAGTCCCAAGGTTCTGCTCCAGTAGGGGCTCAGGTGGAGGAGGGGTGGTCCCTGGTGGGTAGGCGGAGTAAGCCAGTTTTGTCCTCAGCAGGGTCGGTGTCCTCTTTAGAGGCGGGGGAGGTGGCCCTGGGGAATAGGTTTGGGGCTTTGTCGGGGGAGGAGGGGTCAGGTGATCCCGCTTCCCCGATGGAGGACGAGGATGCTGGGGGGTCTCTTAAGAGAGTGAGGGACCCTGCCAAGAAAGTCAAGAGGAGGATTAAGAAACGTCCCTCTCAATTATCTTAATGGCAGTTCCCGCTCCGATAAAGGTACAGCCTTATTTTTGATCAGTGGGATGGAAGCTGATATTTTCTTTTTGCAGGAGACCAGGTTGCCCACCTTGGCTGATGTCCATCTCGCCAAGCGTGAGTGGAGGCGTGGGCCCTCCTACTGGTCTCTCTTGCGGCTGAGCTTTACAGCGGAGTTGCGGTGCTTTTTACCGGCATGGTAACATGTCGGCGGATAATTGAGGTAGAGATCGGAAGATGTCTGATTCTGGATGTTCTCGTAAGGGGGCATGAGCTCCGTCTCATTAATATCTATGGCCCACAGTCCAAGTGGGACAGGAAGAACCTGTTTGCGAGGATTAAACCTTACCTCTTTACATCCCGGCTGGTAGTCTTTGGAGG